CCTCCGGGTTCAGCTCCTGTGTTACACTGTGCTTTCCACTTCTAAAACGTGCTGTCATTTGTGTGCTTGTCTTCCAAGTTTACTTACTATGTATGCACTGGTGGAGGCCAAAGGAATTCTATCTCGCATGAGAAGCTGGTCATTCTATTTTGGATGCTAAGCCACCAAGTGGACTTCTGATTAACCCCGTTCTGGGAATGTCTCCAAGACTGTTCCTTGTGTAAGAGTAGGTAAGCAGATACTCACCGTAAATCTGCACTTAGGACTAAGTCATACCCATTCCCTCTGAAGCACGGGTGCCCCTCCCCTCTAGTATAGAATCCCTGGGTCTTAAGGGGTTAGACACTATCTTCTCTGGCCACAGCCTAGGACACGGATGTGGCTTCTGCTGTCAGGCCCTGTTCAATGTTTTTTGTTTTTGAGATGGAGTCTCGCTCTGTCACCCAGGCTGGAATGGACAGGTGCAATCTCAGCTCACTGCAACCTCTGCCTCCCAGATTCAAGCGATTCTCCTGGCTCAGCCTCCTGAGTAGCTGGGATTACAGGTGTGTGCCACCATGTCTGGCTAATTTTTGTATTTTTAGTAGAGACGGGGTTTCACCATGTTGGTCAGGCTGGTCTCGAACTCCTGACCTCGTGATCTGCCCACATCAGCCTCCCAAAGTGCTGGGATAACAGGTGAGCCACAGTGCCTGGCCTCAATGTTTCTTTTTAAGAAACTGAATTGGTCGGCCTCTTTCTTTGGCCTCTTAGCTTCCTTGGACTTTGGAGTGGATTTACACAGGCCTGCCCACTGCGAATCAGCGCTCTAACATATACCATGCAGAAGTAAACATATAATCATTTTTAAACTTTTACATAATGTTTATTTTGCACATTTAAACACTTTATAAAAGGATATGATATATTGAAGTTGTTTTTTAAAGAAAAATTCTGGTCAGGCGCAGTGGCTCATGCCTGCAATTCTAGCACTTTGAGAGGCTGAGGTGGGTGGATCATTTGAGGTCAGGAGTTCGAGACTAACCTGGCCAACATGGTGAAACCCTGTCTCTACTAAAAAAAAATAAAAATAAAAATAAAAAGTACAAAAAGTAGCCGGGTTTGGTAGCATGCACCTGTAGTCCCAGCTACTCTGGAGGCTGAGACAAGAGAATTGCTTGAACCTGGGAGGCGGAGGTTGCAGTGAGCCAAGATCTCACCACTGCACTCCAGCCTGGGAGACAGAGCAAGACTCGGTCTCAAAAAGAAAAAAAAAAAAAAAAGATTTGTTTTTTTTTAAATCCCTAAAGGACATAAGAGAAGTCTGGAAGAAACGACAAGACACACCTTGTGTTTGGCTAAGAAAATTAAACATTTTAAAGGTATCGATAATTCTTACATTTTCAATCATTAAAACACTGTGGTGCTGAACTAGAATAGAGAAACTGATGAAAAAGAATGAGGAGTCCACAGCTGTCCCATATATATATATATATACACACACACATATATACACACACACACACACATATATAAAAATAAGAACTCAGTATATGAAAAATTATGATTTTACAAATCAGTAGGGTGAAGTTTGACTATTAAGTAAATGACATTGGAATAACTAATTAGCTGATTAAGGGAAACTGCAAGACTATTTTGCTGCACAGAGCAAAATAAATTTCAGGTGATTCAAGGCATAACCTTTTGATCCAAATAATAAAGAAAACAGATCAAACCACTAAAACCAGATTTCTCACCTGGGGCTCTTCATCTGAACCACATAACACAGAAAATGAACTGAGTGACTGATTTCTAAAACATCTACCAGTTCTACAAAACTGGTTTCATTCTAGATGTTTAAGACAGAAGTTAATGCCTTACATACAACAGGTGTAGGAAATCAGTGTTAATTCTCTCAGGAAACTGTCACTGAGAAAGGCTAAAAGACAAATAACCACCTGTCAAAAATAGTTGCAACATGTGGCCCGGCGTGGTGGCTCATACCTGTAGCCCCAGCACTTTGGGAGGCCGAGGCCAGTGGATTGCTTGAGCTCACAAGTTCCAGACCAGCCTGGCCCACACAGTGAAACCCCATAAAAATACAAAAATTAGTCGGGCATGGCAGTGTGCATCTGTAGCCCCAGCTACTTGGGAGACTGAGGCAGGAGAATCGCTTGAACCCGGGAGGCAGAGCTTGCAGTGAGCTGAGATGGTGCCACTGCACTCCAGCCTGGATGACAAAACGAGACTATGTCTCAAAAAAAAAAAAAAAAAGTTGCAACATGTATGAATAGGAATTCATATCCCTAATCCACAAAGCACTCAGACGCTAATAAAAGATGACTATATCAATATACGAATACACAACGCAGAGGCAATGCAGAAAAGAAAAATAGGCCAGGCACGCTGGCTCATGCCTGTAATCCCAGCATTTTGGGAGGCCAAGATGGGCAGATCACAAGGTCAGGAGATCGAGACCATCCTGGCAAACACGGTGAAACCCCATCTCTACTAAAAATACAAAAAATTAGCCGGGCGTGGTGGCAGGCGCCTGTAGTCCCAGCTACTCGGAAGGCTGAGGCAGGAGAATGGCGTGAACCTGGGAGGCAGAACTTGCAGTGAGCCGAGATCGCACCACTGTACTCCAGCCTGGGCGACAGAGCGAGACTCCGTCTCAAAAAAAAGAAAAATGTAAATTGCCAATAAACGTGAAACTGTTTTAACTCTCACTAGCAATTAATGAACATTTTAAAATAAGCAACTCTTAGAAGACATCACTCTCAGTTAACAAATTGTCAAAAATGGTACAGGTTAACAAGGAGGTACTGAAACCAATACCAGGTTCTTTTGCTGGAATTCAAACCAGTGTAATTTTTCTAGAAGGCAGTCTGGCCCAAGGACATAATTAGGTAGGAGTGCAAGTGTGTAATACAGGGGTTGTGACTCCAGACTTTTTAATAATATATATTAAAAGACTACACACGACTTGAGTATCTATCACTAAAGGCTTGTTTAAAGATTATTCTATGGAATGAGTGTGGTAGCTCATGCCTTTAATCCCATCACTTTGGAAGGTCGAGGCAGATGGATCACATGAGGTCAGGAGTTCGAGACCAGCCTGGCCAACGTGGTGAAACCCTAGCTCTCCTAAAAATACAAAAATTAGATGAGGCCAGGTGCAGTGGGTCATGCCTGTAATCCCAGCACTTTGGGAGGCCGAGGCAGGCGGATCACCTGAGGTCAGGAGTTCAAGACTGGCCTGTTGAATATGGTGAAACCCCATCTCTACTGAAAATAGAAAAATTAGCAGGCCTTGGTGGTGGGTGCCTGTAGTCTCAGTTACTTGGGAGGCTGAGAGAGGAGAATCACTTTGAACCTGGGAGGCGGAGGTTGCTGTGAGCTGAGACCACACCAGCCTGGGTGACAGAGGGAGATTCCATCTCAAAAAAAAAATTATGTGGGCATGGTGGTGCATGCCTATAATCTCCCAGGTACTCGGTTGGCTGAGGCAGGAGAATTGCTTGAACTTGGGAAGTGGAGGCTGCAATGAGCCAAGATCACACCATTGCACTCCAGCCTGGGTGACAAGAGCAAGACTAAGTCTCAAGAAAAAAAAAAAAAAATTCTTCTGTGAAGTGCTGTGAGCACAAGAATGCCAGCTGACAGCCGCCACTGCTGCCATCACCACCCACCTCCCTCCACAGGCTTCATTCTTCACTCCTTCCAGCTGCCTCCCCATCCCTTGTCCCCTACCCTCTGCCCTGCTTCTGCAGAAGGTAACACTGCTGAGGTTTGGGGAGCAGGGCTGCAGGCACAGGGAAACTTCCTTCCCACTAAATGGGTAGCAAGGATGGGACAGGGAAGAGGAGTTGGAAGAGAGGAGAGGGATGAAAGAAGGAGGGGAAAAAAACCGAAGAATAAAAATCTTATCTAGAGGCACACGAAAAAATAAAAATTAAAAAAGAAAAATAGGCCTGGCATGGTGGCTCACACCTGAAATCCTAGCACTTTATGAGGCTGAGGCAGGTGGATCATTCGAGGTCAGGAGTTCGAGACCAGCCTAGACAACATGGTGAAACCCCATCTCTACTAAAAATACAAAAAATTAGCCAGGCATGGTAGCACACCCTGTAATCCCAGCTACTCGGGAGGGTGAGGCAGGAGAATCATTTGAACACGGGAGGCAGATGTTGCGGTGAGCTGAGATCATGCCATTGCATTCCAGCCTGGACAACAAGAGCAAAACTCCATCTCAAAAAAAAAAATTAAAAATTAAAAAAGTAGTCTTCTATAAACCTGCCAATAAGAGAGGTAAGTCTACATGTAAATCAGTGAATTATGAGTAAAATAAGTGCATAATAAGCAATATGATATAAAAATTGTACCATGAACTAGGCTCCATGCTGTTTCTTTGGAGAGGGTTCAGACCAAGGCATTTCCCAGACAAGGCAGGTCCCTTCCTGGGAATGGCCCCTTATCAGTCTCAGACGGTTTGGTCTTAGAAAAGTTTGCCCTAAATCAAATGGCTTCTTCTCCATCAGAAACCACATATGTTAAAATGTGCCGCTGATTTAAAAGTTAGTTGAAGGCAGACGCTGAAGACTTCTACAGGCAAAACTAATCAAATGTTATTTATGTATTTTTTATAAGACATTGGAGGGCATTCCTTGATGTTCAGATTTGCACAGGTTTGTTGGAAGTGGGATAGACTAGAGTTAAGGGAACCTATGCAGACAGTAAGTCAGAAAATACGGGGTCAGAAAAAGCCAAGTCTCTGCTGGAATGGAAAGGAGAAGACACTCCCAAGAGATATTTCAGCCGGGCGCGGCAGCTCACGCTTGTAATCCCAGCACTTTGGGAGGCCGAGGCGGGCAGATCACGAGGTCAGGAGATCGAGACCATCCTGGCTAACAGTGAAACCCCATCTCTACTAAAAATACAAAAACAAAATTAGCTGGGCGTGGTGGCAGGCGCCTGTAGTCCCAGCTACTCAGGAGGCTGAGGCGGGAGAATGGCGTGAACCCAGGAGGTGGAGTTTGCAGTGAGCCAGAATCGCGCCACTGGACTCCAGCCTGGGTGACTCCGTTTCAAAAAAAAAAATCCTAGGACAGAATAAACAAAAGTGAGTGACTGATTGGGATGGCGGGGTGGGCAATGGGGAAGGGATGTATAGGTAGACTCTAAATCAGAAGCCTTACTGAAATCAGCCAGAAAGAGCTGGGATCTTCTTCAATCGTGATCTCAGTTAATGAAGGCCCTCATGTCTGAGACCTTCAATCATCTCCACTCACCAGCAACCGTCTCCATCAATATCACCCTTCAGCAGGCAGCTCCACGGAGGCCTCTTTGCCTGTCTCTTCCAGCAGCTCACCTCCCCAGATTTCCTCCACTCATCACCACAGTAAGAATTCACCACGATCTCCCACTTTTAAATTTCCAATTGCTGAGCCGACCCTCACCATACTTCTGCTTCACCCATAGAAGGAAAGGAAGCCACCCCAATTTCTTGTTTTGTCACGAGGGCCACAGGCTGGTGGTCACCTTAGTGGTACTTGTTTGACCTCAGTTCCAGGACTTGGATGGCTCAAGGCTGAGGGGGAGCATGGGAGGGGGTGGGGGGCAAGGCAGATGGCCAGCAGGGGTTGGGTGCAAGGCAGGGTACCAGTCCTCAGACTGGTGTGGCAAAGCAAAGGTGCCTCCTGTGGAGGGCTGGGAGGGGAGGGCGTGGCTGTAGGGGTGAGGGAAGCAGGTCACTGGTGGTGGTGGTGGCACGTAGGAGTAGGGGCAAGCAGGGGACTCTGGCAAGAAGCTGGAAAAGGCGGCAGGAGACAGATGGGCCAGGGGCTGAAGCAGTGAGCGCTCTTGCTTCCGTTGCTTAGCTCTGCGGTTCTGGAACCAGACCTGAGAAGGGGGAGCAAACACATCAGAGCCCACACCTGACACTGGTGCTGACACCCTACTCCAACGACAAGAGGTGCAGGGACAGGGAGCAGGCCTCTCCAGCATGGCCAGAGGAAGTAAAGCCCTTCCACAAGGTTGGCTGAGCCTGGTCTGCTGACAAAGGAACCCACAGACTTATCCCCAACCTGCATCCACATGTGCCCTTTTCTACCACTCTGGGCTAATAAGAAATGCCAACTTCCAACAAGGAGATACATATGGTGACAGTGACATTTCCCTTCCCCAGAGAATGGGAAATTTCCCCTACGGTTAAGTTTAACAATGAAGACTGTAGATAAATGTAATTGCTATAGACAAGCTTGAATTTAGGGTAGGGTTTATTAAAGCTAACCAACTCTGGGGTTAGGGTTGAAGGATCATCTGGCTCATTGAGTTTCAAGGCTATTATTAGGGACAAGGTTCCGAATGTGTGTGAACAGTTAGGATTGAACTTCCGCTGGAATTGGCATCACTTTTTTTTTTTTTTTTTGAGACAGAGTTTTGCTCCTGTTGTTCGGCTGGAGTGCAATGGCACGATCTTGGCTCACTGCAGCCTCTGCCTCCCGGGTTCAAGTGATTCTCCTGCCTCAGCCTCCCGAGTAGCTGGGATTAATGATAGCCATCTGCCACTATGCCCAGTTTATTTTTTGTATTTTTAGCAGAGATGGGGCTTCACCATGTTAACCAGGCTGGTCTCGAACCCTTGACCTCGTGTGATCCACCCACCTTGGCCTTCCAAAGTGCTGGGATTACAGACGTGAGCCATTGCGCCCAGTCAGAATTGGCATCACTATTAAAAATTGAGGGTAGGTGTTGAAATTCAAGTTAGATTAGCATATAGCTAGGGTTAAACTCAAGTGATATGATAGTCTCAATGCAGACGCTCTGATGCTGGTGGTCAGATGAGGCCTGTGTCTGGTGACTGTTTAGGTTAGGGTTACAATGCCTAACATTCTAGGATAGCACCAAAGAAACCTGCATTTCTTCCCTGAGAGAGGAGGGATCCTGGAGCATCACCTGGATTCGGGCCTCGCTGAGGCCGGTGTCCCGGGCAAGACTCTCCCGGGCCCAGATGTCTGGGTACTGGTTCCTCCCAAAGGCTGACTCCAGCTGTTCCAACTGCACTGGACTGAAGGTGGTGCGATGGCGGCGCCGGGAGTGCGGGCGGCCCCTCTGTCCTCCTTGCGGGGAGAACCTTGGTCTCCCGACTCCTGCACCAGGGAGCCTCCTGCAGGGTGGAGCACTCGAGTCTGAGAAGGGAGAGAAGCAAGAGGTGGCTTCTGAGGAGGACGCTCCTCAGTGCTGGGCCACATGTGCCTGTCCCCGGATTCCGCTCAGTGCTTCCTGTGCTGCTCCAATCTTTTTTCTTTCTTTCTTTCTTTCTTTCTTTCTTTCTTTCTTTCTTTCTTTCTTTCTTTCTTTGAGACAGAGTCTTGCTGTCTCCCACACTGGAGTGCAGTGGTGTGATCACAGCTCACTGCAGCCTCGAAGCCCTGGGCTCCAGTGATCCTACTGCCTTAGTCTCCTGAGTAGCTGGGACTATAGGTGCGCACCAACACACCCAGCCAATTAAAAAAAAAAAAATTAGAGATGAGGTCTTGCCATGTTGCCCAGGCTGGTCTCAAACTCCTGGCCTCAAGCAATCCTCCCATGTCAGCCTCTTAAAGTGCTGGGATTACAGGACTGAGCCACTGCCCCCAGCCCTGCCCCACCAGGAATCTTTTGGCTGCCCATAGCTTGGTTCCTGCACCCTGCTCAGCCTCGGCCCCTGGTTGCCTCTGAGTCTCTGACACCAGGCTGTGCTGTCTACGCAGGGAACAACCTCAGACTCATTCCTGGCCCTGGCACTCGTGCACTGTCTACCTGGCAACTCTACCGTCTGCCCACTTCCTACCGCACCGCCAGACACACACCCCTCCATGGACATTCACCTCTCTGGACAGGCACAACCGCCTAGGGCTCACCCTGCGGGTCTGCTGTGTGTACCTGCACCCTAACCACCATCCCAGCGGTCTAGGGAAGACCCAGTGCTTGTCCCCTGCTGGCGAGGCTCAGGTTCAACCTGCGCCTTCTTTAAACTGCTGCCATCTCCTGCACCCCTCACCTGGGAAGATGAGCACCCCCCTCTTCCGCTCAGACACACCCTTCCCTACTTACTTTTCATCTTCTCCCTACCCCTGCCCTGGCCCAGCCACCAGCCTGTAGGAACTTGAGCTCGTGGGAAAGGCTTGCCTCTCCTCCCCACAGGCTCCCTAAGCCCCCACACTAATTAGTCTGAGAGCTGCTGGGGAGGAGAGAACAGAGAGGGAAAGGACACACCTGGAAGGCGCCCACCAAGAAAAGATGTTTGGAGCTGAGGCACCGTCCCCATGGGGGCCCAAGGGTGTGGACCGTCCTAGAGCTCACTGTCCACCATGGGGACACACACGGAGCCCGCTCTCCCACCCGGGACCCAAAGCCCTGGCCCCTCTACCTGCCTTCATCAGAGAAGGCAGTGCCTTGGGCTGACCAACTCTGAGGTCAGGAGTGAGGGGACAGAGGTAACTGTCTCACATCCCCACCGCGATGTGAGCTGTTCAGCTGCCCCTGCCTGCCAAGGGCTCAATTCCCCAGTCTGTAAAGCCGAGGGGTGCTCCAGTCCCTTACTTTTGAAGGTTCCCACAGTTTTAACATGCTGGGATTCTGTTTTTAGTTTCTCCTCCTAACCTTCTTCATGGAGCCTATACTTTCAGCCTCACACCCGCTACCTCCTCAGGGACCCACGCACACCGGGACAGTCACTCACCCACCATGGTGGTCAGGGTCCCAGCGGCCGGGTATCTCTCTGGCAAGAGGCTGCTGCCGACTCGTCCCTTCTTTGGCTTCTCAGCCTGGCGCCTCCTTTCTGCTTCCATGGCTCGCCACGGGGACCAAGTGTCCCTGAATCTCTGACTCAAGATTTCTCTGCTTCCGCAGCTCCTCTCCACACCTGTTCTCTCCCCTTCTCCCCCTGTGAGTGCCACTCTCTGGGTCTCTTTCTGAATGTGTGTAGGTGCAGGTAGCTATCTCTGACTTTTCACTGTCTTTACCTTTTTTCTAATTGTTTCCTAATTCTCCCTTCCTTGGCTTGAGTGTCATCTCATTCTCCTGTCTCGGCCTCACCTGTTGCTCTGTTTCTGACTCTACTTTTCTCTGCCTGGCCCTTCTCTCCACTGGGATGCTGCTCTCTTCTGTCAACTGCCTACTTTCCCATTCCACCCCCCAGTCTTGGAGGAGTGACCTCCTCCCCGCCCCTGCGGGCCCCTCCAATCACCACACGGTCGCCAGAGCCCCCTTGCTCAGGGAGGATCACAAGCCGGATGAGGGAAGGTGTTCTGTCGGAGGGTCCAGGGACTGGGGCCAAGGGCTCGTATTCCCCGAGGACGGCATTCTTTTGTCCTGTTAAATCCCCTCCTGGGAGCAGGCAGGGGGAGGAGGAGAAAATGCATTCCTCCTGAGACCCCCTCCTCACAGCCCCACTGTGGGGAGAGGAACAAAGAGCTGGGGAAAGGGACCCAGGAGTGGAGCCTGCCTGGCATCTCAGCATGGGGGTGACACCTAAGGACCTGTTTCCAGGAAACTAAAAAAAGGAGAAGTCACAAGTGCACGCCAGCCCCTCTCAGACACCCTGATAGTTCAGAATACACCAGCCAGTGCTCAGGCCAACCTGAACCCACTCCGGAGAATGGGCCTCCAGGACACCATAGCTCTCAAGTGCTGTCTGATTTCCTCCCTCAAACACCGCCTCCTCATTCACCCGGAAACCCCAGGACACCATGACCTTCCGAGGTCACCCAGACCCTCCGTAAACACTGACCTGAACATCTGCATTCCAGGTGCATCCTGACCCCCCCATCCTGCCCCAGACTTCAGGACTCGGAAAGAGACTGAGATTCCCGTGGCATACTACATTCTGATTCTTCAAGGAAATCCTGACACCGGGAATCCCTGAGCAGTCGGAACAGCCTGGTCCCACAGTAGTCTGTCCCTTGAGATTACTTAGACCCGGGAAGTATATTCTGACATCCCCAGGACACCCTGACTGCTTAAGGATGATGTGACAGCCCAGTACCTTAGGATCCCCCGGGACACGCTGACACCCAGAACACTTCACCTCTACTTCTCAGGACACATGGACCCCCCCGGAACACACTGTACCCACAGGACAGTCTGATTCCCAAGGTCATGCCATCATACAGGTCCTTTAAAAACACCCTGATGATTCAAGACGGGAAATCATAATCCTTTAGGATTTCGATGCTTACGGTGGTGTCCATGGATCAACAACAACAGCAGCAGCAACGGGAGCGTGCTGGAAATGCACATCCCCGGGCCCCACTTCTGTCCTGCTGAGTCACAATCTCCGCTGTACCAAGATCTCCAGGAGAACCGAGTGCACGTGGGTCTTGAGTCAGCTGGGGCTGCCATGATGAAATAGCACAGACTGTGTGGCTTAAACTGTAGACTACTGTTGCTCACAGTTCTGGAGGCTGGGAAGTCTAAGATCAAGGGGTCCGCCTATTCGGCTCCCCTGTGAGGGCTCTCTTCCTGGCTTGCAGAGGGCTGGCTGCCTTCTCACGGTGCCTTCATATGGTGGAGAAAGAACCAGCTCTGGTTTCTCTTCCTCTGCTTGTAAGGACACTAATCCCATCATGGGGCCTCACCCTCATGAGCTCATCTAAACCCAATCACCTCCACAAATCCCCACCTTCAAATACCATCACGTCGGGTGTTAGGACTTCAACATAGAAATTTTGGAGGCATACAGAAGTTCAGTCCATAATGTTAAAGTTGAGCAACACTGCTCTTAATATTAATCCTTCTCCCCTGCGGCCTCCTGGAGCACCTGGACCCCACGGCAGTCCTAACCTAGCAAGACCCAGTGACATGCAGTCAGCTCAGACTCACAGGAGAACACTGAATTCCAATGCCCCCTGCTGCCAGGGGTGCCCATGCTGGTCCTGTCAGGTCCTTGAATTGCAAGGGCACTGAGGATGCATTCACTCTCCAGGACACATAGATCCTCCCAGAGGCTCCGACCTCTATACCTTATACTCAGCACGAGAGCTTGGGCTCACAATGACTCTGTGACCCTCTAAGACACCCAGACCACAGGGACGTGGTGAGATTTGGGAAATTCTAACCTTTTAAGGAATTCCTGACCTTACAGAATCTAGACAGTCAAGGGCATCTTGCCTTCCTGCCCATTGAGAGCCCCCAATTTGCTTGAATCTTGCAAAGGTGATGCTGACACTGAAAAACCACTCAACACGCCAACCCCAACCCAGGAAATACCCTGACCACACTAGCCTGATCCACGGGACATTTTGACGAAGTAAAGACATATCCTGGTCTCCCAAATCACTCTGACCATCCAACATGCCTTTGACACATGAGATGTCTTAATGCCAGGGCTCTCCAACCTTCCAGTGTACTCTGGCTGTCTCAGCCCTAGACTTGCCAGTAGGCACCCTAGTCAGGGTCACTCTCCGCCTCTCCCAACACACAGACAGCCCAGCACAGCTTCGACACATTAGGGCCCCCTGAATCCAAAAGGCGATTATTCTAACTCTCGAGAGATTCTGTCCTCTCAAGGCAACTATTTCCTGCAAGACACTCTGTAGAATACATCCCCAGAACTGCCGGAACATCTTCACTTCTGCCATACTCTCACCCCTGCCTAGCACGTTCTGCTCATCCAGGACCCTCTGATTTCCTGAAAATGCTTTGATTGTACAAGAATACCTTGGTATTCTACTCCATGACAGGTCCATTCAAGTCTACCCAAACCTTCGAGGACCACCAGAGATCCAGAAAACCTTGATTTCCTGCATTCAAATACCAAAAGGATATGCTGACCTACCTGAAAACCTTCACAGCTCTGGACTCCCAGGACATCCAGGAGTCTCTGAATCATAGAGCCAGACCCACCTCCAAAACATCTTAACTCCATGCAAGCGGTGTGATCTTCCAGGACAGTCTGACCTCAAAGCTGGTGATGCTGTAAGGATACTTCAAGTGTTCTGACATGATGAAAATGCCTGTAGGCCCAGAACAGCTGCCTCCCCTGATGCCCTCTCTCTCCAATACCCCTGCCTTCCCAAGATGTTCTAAGTCTCCCAGACTCTCTTTCATCGTTAAGATCTCATCTGATCCTATAAGGTCTCTTTGGATCCTCTAAACACTCCATTCCCCAGGGTCCTCTGACCTTTTAAAATCCTACAAGATGCCGGGCACGGTGGCTCACGCCTGTAATCCCAGTACTTTGGGAGGCTGACGCAGGCAGAAAACCTGAAGTCAGGAGTTCGAGACCAGCCTGGCCAACATGGTGAAACCATGTCTCCACTAAAAATACAAAAAAATTAGCCAGGCATGGTGGCACACGCCTGTAGTCCCAACTACTCAGGAGGCTGAGGCTGGAGAATCACTTGAACCTGGGAGGCAGAGATTGCAGTGAGCCGAGATCATGCCACTGCACTCCAGTCTGGGTGACAGAGCGATAACTGTCGGGAAAAAAAAAAAAAAAAAAAAGAAGTCCTACAAGACACTTGGAACCTACATGGGCCTGCTTACCATCCAGAGACAAGGCAAACCCACAGGACACTACTCTGACCATACAAGGACCCCCTGAGTCTCCAGCGGATCAGATCTCTATGAGGACACACTGATTCCCCTGATTACTATAAACCCTAGCTTACTCTGAGCATGTGAACACCCTACCTTCTAGGTTATTTGGCCCTAGAGGATTATGTGTGTGTATGTGTATATATACACACATACATATATGTATACACTTGTTTTGAGACAGGGGTCTTGCCCTGTCACCCCGGCTGGAGTGCAGTTGTGATTGTAACACACTGCCGCGTCAAACTCCTGGGCTCGCGCGATTCTCCCGCCTCAGCCTCCTGAATGGCCAGGACTACAGGTGTGCACCACCACATCCAGCTAGTGTTTGCATGTTTTTGTACAGACGCAGGCTCACTACAGTGCCCAGAGGAATATCTTACTGTACCAAGTTACTGTGATTCCTAGAGCATTTTAGCCATCCAAAGTTACCTGCCAGTGCCTCTGACACCTCAGGAAACTCCAACCCCATCAGGACACCCTCCCTATCTAGTCCACTGTGATGCTGCAGAAAATTTATTGAACAGTAAAGGAACTCTGTGGAAAGAGTGTCCCTTAAGGACACTCTGCTCCTAGAAGAACATCCTGCAAGTCGGGCTGTCTGAATTCAAATTCTAGAACCAGCCCTTGCTTGCTGTGCGACCATCAACAAGTTATTTCACCACTTTAAGCCTCACCTTCCTCATTTGCAAAATGAGCACAGTACTGGAACTTTCCTTCTGTGTTTGAGCAGGTGTGAAGAATGCCCTGCGAAGACTCTATCAAAGAAAGAAATTCAAGTTTTTGTTTAGCTCATCCGTTCAGAAAAGACAATGTAAAGATACTAGTGTGTTGAAAAAAAAAAAGGAAATATATAAGATAGACGAGTAGACTGAGGTCTTAGAAGGCTAAGGTTAACACCTTAGCAAAAAGAAGAGAATAGGCTCATAGTAAATAATTTATCACATCAACCAATAAAAAACCATATGATTATCTAGCATTTGATAAAACTCAACACTTATTATTTATTTATTTACTTATTTACTTATTTATTTATTTATTTATTTTGAGATAGGGTCTCAGTTGGTCGCACAGGCTGGAGTGCAGTGGCACAATCTGGGCTCACTACAACCTCTGCCTCCTGGGTTCAAGTGATTCTCCTCCCTCAGCCTCCTGAGTAGCTAGGACAACAGGTGCCTGCCATCAGACCCAGCTAATCGTTGTATTTTTAGTAGAAACGGGGTTTCACCATGTTGACCAGGCTGGTCTCGAACTCTTGATCTCAGGTGATCTGCCTGCCTCAGCTTCCCAGAGTGCTGGGATTACAGGCGTGAGCCACCATGCCCAGTCTCAATTTTATTTATTTATTTGTTTGTTTGTTTGTTTATTTATTTATTTATTTTGAGACAAGAGTCTTGCTCTGTTGCCCAGCTGGAGTGCAGTGGCACAATCTCAGCTCACAGCAGCCTCCACCTCCTGAGTTCGAGTGATTCTCCTGCCTCAGCCTCCCAAGTTGCTGGGATTACAGGTGCATGCCACCAATCCTGGCTAATTTTTGTATTTTTAGTAGAGACAGGGTTTTGCCAAGTTGGCCAGGCCGGTCTCGAATCCTGGCCTTAAGTGATCCACCCACCTCAACCTCCCAAAGTGCTGGGATTATAGGTGTGAGACATCATGCTCAGCCTTATTCAAAATTTTTAAATGATATAACTATTAGCAAAATATTCAATAAAGGCCATCCACTGAAACCTACAAGATATTTTGATAACAGTGATCTGTCAAGAACTTGTCATTCTTAAATGATGAAATGTAATGAGCATCCTCCTAAGATAGGCA